GCGGCCGAATGGCGGTCGCTAACCTCACCTTCGTATTACTGACGCGATATTTTCACAGCATATTGATCATTGCTGCCATCTTATCAAAAGTATGTGTATGCCAACTTATTTCTGTAGTGTTACTGAGTAGAAAAACGTTTATTTCAAGCCCTCCCCTCCTCTCCCGCTATGCGGATCCGTGCGGACGCACGTTCCGCGGAATCCGTGCGGATCCGTACTAAACTGGACAACCTCTAGGGCCGTGACGAGCTCGGTGGCGATGGAGGACGATTGCAACCAGGGTTGGCGTAGGTCAAGGTCAACTATCTGGAGTTGGTGGGCGTGGCGCAAGAGCTCGGCGGTGGCCGCCGTGGCTTCAGCGACGTCATATTTGCAGCAGTGGAGTGTGATTGTCTTTAGGGACTTGCAGGCCACCAAGGCATCGATCCCAGGCACCATTGGGCTCTTCAGTCTGCTGAGGTGGGGCATCTTGGCCAGCAGCAGCACCGTGGAGGGAGATGGGATGGACTTAAAAAATGAAAGCGTCTTTAGAGTGGCAGCGTGTGTGCCTAGTACTAGGTTGAAGACGTGCTCCAACGCTGGGGTGGGAAAGAGGCTGATGCTCTGAAGGGACGAACTGACATTAGTGCTGTGTAGATCAGCAACAACGGACTCCCTGGGGACGTATTCGGCGCAAGTTCCTCCAACATAGAGATAATCCAAATCAGGCGTTGAAAGCAAGGCGCCAAAGAACATGGAGAAGTGCACTTTCGACATGCCAACAACACTCTCAAAGGCGCTTGTTTCAAAGTACACAAAAAGTTGCCTCAGCCGGCCCAAGTCCCTTTGATGCCTGATGACCAGAGCACCGTGCATGGCACCTTCGCCGCTCTTTAAGTAGACGCTCAATTGCCTGGCGGCACACGCCGTGGTGAAGATGTGGGGGCAGGAGTCGGACGGGAGGCAGACCGCCATGCGCGAGAAGCACGGCGCCAGGCGCAACGTGGGGCAGAGCAAGGAGCGGTGCCCTGGGAACGTGAAGTCGATGTTTCTGTGCCGCCAGACGTCTGGGTGGAGGGCGAGGGCAGCGAACCTCTTGCACGCACGGCGCAGCCGGAAGAGGTCCGGCAGGCTCAGTAGGGACATGACCTGCGCCAGCACGTCGTCCGGGAGGAGGTCCATCGCGCCCTGGAAGGGTAAGGGTAGACTGTGAGCACCGCGATCAGACAGGGAGAGACCCCGGACTTGATTGACTAATGCTGAACCGCATGCAGCACTGTAAGAAATCCTGTGCTCAATCATTGCTAAGACCACAGAACTGGAACCACACCTAAAACACAGTGCGGACTGTGGTGGGCCACACCACAGAGGTTTTCTGTTGACCGGCTCAGTCTGTGACTCGTCTATGGTTCGAGGCGTCTCTGTTCGTTCTTAGCTCTCACTGTTGACCCGCCGCGCTCCAGCAACCACATGCTGGAGGATTACGCCAACGTGTATCTTCGTGCACCCGCGCGGAGATTGAAGATTTCTGAGGGGAGGTCAAGAGTTTGGTCCTCCGAAGGGCCAGTAGTGTCCAAAGGCCTTGCGGCGAACGAGCCTTCGGGCTCAAGGTCCTCCAT